CTGGTATACTGTAAATAACAAAAAGCAACAGAAGAAGTTATTTTGAATGGTTTAGAGTTTTTTTAAGGTAATACAGAATTTACAGTGCATGAGGGCTCTGTTCTTTCTCTTATATATTTGAGTTTTTAAATGTTAATATGTTGTCAGGAAGCAGTTGTTTCCCTTCTTTAGAACCGTTTATAGTCACGCTATGGCAATTTCTGTTTTTCCTTATGGTCTTTAAAAATATGAATATAAATTAATATTATAAAATGTGCTTTGTAGATTATCATAGTAAGACAAAATAGTTTTGCAAATTTCAGTGTGCATGAATTTTTTTTATTGTATTTTACATTCAAGTCTTCTATCAACAACAGTACCTTATTGACATCATAAGACTTTACTGTAAATCAACTTGGAAATAAAGAAGAAAAGGTCCTCTTCAGCCCTTTCTAGATCAGGGCAGTTTAATCACCATGAAGATGGACAACATTTATGAGAATGTGATAATGAAATCAGCTGTGGATTTATCATCATGTCCTCAGCCTACAGGTGCCGTGTAAAGTCAAGGGAATTCAGCAGGTAGACTCTAGAGCCGTGCCGATACAACACAGCTTTGAGGCCGCAGACTCTTCTTAAATCTGTTTCATCTATGACGTGATTAATGAACAAAAGTAAAAATTGCTCTAAGCCTAGTTAAAACTTCAAAAAAAAAGTTTGAAAAATACTTTGAAATTGTTTGAACATAAATGGTGTCACATAATGTGAAACACAAGATAAATGAGAGAAACTGTTGAGTTTGTTCCTCAGTTGTTTTTTATTTTTAATACCTTAGGTGCCTCATATGTTGTATATACTTCATTCTAAGTGACTCTGTTTAATCTCCTGGATGAATTAAGTCTCATGTTGTTATATGTAAGGCTTTTAAAGGTTCTATTTTTGTATTGGTTTTTGTCCACTGTTTATTATTTTGTTTGTAAACATGATTTATCTGTCTTAAGAACAAAATGCTAGTATTTTGGGCTTTCAGGCACAGGTAGAGTTAGTTCCTTTTTTTGACCACTATAAATACATTATTCACTATTCAGTGGTTTTAAAATTTCCTGTTGTCTTGAGTTGATTCTACATCTACAGATATCTGGCCTGACCTCCTCAATTCACAGCTTTAAAGTTACATTAAGACAAACTCACACAGTTAACATCTGTTGAACATTTCAATTTAAGAAAGTGTACTGCCAAATTCTACCTCTACATTGTAGCAGATACATTTCCTAATGTATAGCTGTAAGCAATGTTCCTTATGATACTGTTAGCCATTTTGAATGCTGAAAATAAGAACCCTGTGCAGGTCTCAAGTAGGCTCATTTCCCCGTGGAGTAATAGGATAATCCAAAGCGAAAAGGCTGCCAAAAAAGAAACAAGCCCTAGTTCCTGAAATCCAAAGGACAGGCGACAGTCAAAACAATACAATACAGAGAGGCAACCAATCCAAAAACCGCAAAGGCAGAAACGTGGTCAGAATCTAGCGAGAGTCAGGAAGTCAAGAACAGAACAAGCTATAGAAGGTGGGGGGTGGGGACGTCCACTAAGGAGCTCCAGGCAGAATCCGAAATAGTGAGCGAAGGTAAGGGAAAAGAGGAGGGTTAAAGTAGTGACGGGACTGAAAGGCGATAGGAAGATTAGTTGCGGCGTGAGCGTCTGTTTAAGTGAGTGCGCGTGGGAATGTGACGGCGTTTGTGAGAGCGTGTGGAATGTGTGACAGTGCGTGCAGAATGCGGAACAGATACCACCATCCAATAAACACAGTCTATTTTGTAAATACTGTATCCATAATTTAAAGTGCTAATCTCTTTACCATTTAATTAATGAAAATGAAATTCTCTCACATACTGCTTTTCCCAGTTGAGGAATGAAAAATCCAGTCAGCCAAACACAGAGAAACCCAGCTGGTGGGAATTTCTGACGACCCACAACCCGTGTTTATTTCTAGCATCTGAGGAAAGCAGTGCTGAAAAACAGTGTCTTTCTACAAGAGGACTTCAGTGGTGTTTGCTTGTGTGTGGATCATCACTCTGATTGCTGGACTGGGCTTCATCAGGGACATGGGTACCACAAGTTAGGCTCCAGCATCCCCTGTCACCCTGCATTAGATAAAGGAGGATTGGCCAGATCTTCTCAATTAATTACAGAACCTTCACACAGTGATTTTTGTAGCTGCATTTGGAAGACTGTTTTCTGAGAAAATGAAAGACATGACAAAAATTTGTAAATTTTGAAGAGGTTCACAGGCCCAGACAGTTTATCAGCTGCAGCCCTCAGCTATTGTGCTGATCAACTGGCTCCTGTGTTTACCAACATTTATAACACTTCACTTCTTCAGCAGAAAGCCTCTCACCGTTTTAAAATATCCACTATAATACCTGTTCCTAAATCTTCACAAATATCCTGCCTCAACGACTATAGTCCAGTTGCTCTGACATCGGTGACTATGAGAGCCTTTGAGTGTCTAGTGCTAAAGCACCTCCAGCACTGTACATCTTCCCTGATGGATCCTCACCAGTTTGCCTACAAGGCCAACAGGTCAGTTGAAGATGCTGTTAACCAGGCTCTCCATTGTATACTCCAGCATTTGGAGAAGCCAAATTCCTATGCCCACATCCTTTTTTTTTGGATTTCAGCTCAGCATTCAATACCATTAATCCACATACATTATTCAGTAAACAGATAGACTTGAACATCAACCTTGCTATGTGTCTTTGGATTCTGGATCTTTTAACACATTTCCAGCAGACTGTCAGGGTGAATAACAGGACATCTTGCCCTCTGACTCTCAGCACTAGTGCTCCACAAGGCTGTGTCCTATCTCCATGGCTCTTTTCCCTTTTCACAAACAACCTCACCTCTCGGGATGACTCTGTCAAGGTTTTCAAATATGCAGACAATGCTACCATTGTTGGCCTCATCTCGAATAATGATGAGACTTTTTAGAGAAAGCAGACTGACTTGGGAACAGCCTGGTGTTCGGACAGCGACCTTCTACCCAATGCTTCCAAAACCAGGGAAATCATCATTGACTTCCAAGGCTTCCAGAACACAAAACTTCCAGTCTTCATTAATGACCTTCCTATAGAGACCACAAACTCCTTTAAATATCTGGGTACATATCTAAACAGTGACCTTAAATGGGGTACCAACACTGACCACATAGTCAAGAAAGCACAGCAGAGGGTGTTTTTTCTTAGCGACACAAAAAACACAGAGTGAACCAGCAACTCCTCCTTCAATTCTACACAGCCTCTATCACAGTCTGGTCTGGGAGATTGGAGAACTACTCCAAAGGCAAACTGGAGAAGATTGTGCCCAAAGCTGCAAAAGTTGTTGGCTATGAACTCCATTCTATCTCATCTCAGTACTCAAGCCGCTCCTCCAGTCTTGCCAAGAAAATCATCTCAGACCCCTCTCGCCCAGCTCATAACCTCCTCCAGCTCCTCCCTTCTGGAATATGTTTCAAATCAAAGGACTGCCCAACCTCAGCTCCTTTCCCACTCCCATATGAACTCTGAACTCACGTTGAACTCTGAATTCCATTGTATAATTTATGCTGCTACAAGGAAGGTTGTTTACATACTGTATGTATGTGACGATGTTTGTCTGTCTTCTGTCCTGTTTAAATTTGTTCGGTATGTTGTATGTATGTCTCATCTGTGCTCTTTATGTATAGATAGCAAATTCCACCAACTATTGTTAAATAGAATAATCTTTATTCTATAACCATTATGCATCTGTTTTCTCTGTAAAGATAATAAATAATAGTTGAATAAAATTATGGAGGGCATTATTTATGGAGCAAAGTTAAGGTGCAGTTTTTACCTTCAGTAACTCTCCATTTAACCCAAGAAGCCTTTCTGTAGGGTCTAGTACTAGATTTTCAAATTGGCCAGAGGGGATATTACATGAAGACAACTAGCTATATCCTAGACGTATCCTCAGACAGCAGCCTTGTGGGATGTCAGTGCTCAGGGTGAGTGGTGTTGATGTGTTATTACCTATCCTCACCACCTGTGGTTTCTTGTTTAGGAAATCCAGCAGCCAGTTGCAGACAGAGTTCCACAGTCCTGGTCCCCTGAGCTTTTTCACCAGTTGGCTTGGTATGATGGAATTGAATGCTGAACTGTAGTCCACAAACAGCATTCTCACATATGCGTTCTTAGTGTCCAGGTGTTCCAAGGCTGTATGCAGAGCCAGGGAGACAGCATCATCCACCGATCTGTTGTTCTGATAGGCGAACTGCAAACGGTCCAGGGAGTCTGTAAAGGAGGAGTTCATGTGTGACAACACCAGCTTCTCCAGGCATTTCATCACCACAGATGTTAACGCTAGTGGGCGGTAATCGTTCAGGTACGGCACTTTTGCCCTTTTGGGGAGTGAAGCAGGTGGGGACAATGGACTGTGACAGGGAGGTTCTGCGTAAATGTGTGGCAGTTTGTAAAAACAAGTATAGACAATGGTAAGGCGTTGATGGCAAAAACAAATATCACAAAGACACCGAAAAGTCAAAATGGTTTTGCAAAGAAAAATCAATGAAGTAACTGTAGTTATTGAGAATCTGAACAGAGCTTTATCTTTGGCCCTTTACAAATCACAACTAACTGGAGAGATAATTTGTATTTGACCAACACAGACATGTGGTGTAGCAGCTCATCAGCCTCAATTAGCTGTCTTTAAAATCAGCTGCAAATTAACCAATTTACACTCTCCTTTAGGCATACATATTTCCTGTTGAACAATTGCACTTGGATATTTAGCATTGTAAATTCTGATTAAAAAGGTTGATTCAACAGCTCTAAGAATCAAACAATGAAAGTGCTGAAGAAGGTGTCCTATCCATGCAAGGCAGATGCAACACACCATATTTTATGTAAGAATCGTCCTATTAATGAAAATATTTAATTTGCAACATAAGGTTTTACTGTAAACTTGTAAATAACAAGTTCCTCTTTCAGTTGCATTTTCAATATCAGTGCAGTTTAATCACCGTGAAGATGGACAACATTTATGAGAATGTGGAGATTAAACCAACTCTGGTTTATTCATATTGTTCTCAGCCTACAGCTGCCGTGTGGAGTCAAGGGAATTCAGCAGGTATAGTCCACAGCCATGTCAATATTAAAGATCTTTAAGATTGTAGACTCTGCTTCCAATTGTTGAACCTACTGAATATGATTAGAAAACAAAAGTAAAAATGGCTATAAAACTAGTTAAAATTTTTAAAAGAAATGTATTTAAAAAATACTGACTTAGAAATTCTCTTTGAACATTAATGGTGTCGTGTACTCTGCATAAACTTAGGTTACTGTATGTTCTGATAGTCTCGTAAAAGCGAACTTAGTGCTTGTTCAAAGTGAAACAGAAAAAAACTGAGAGAGAAAACTTAAATCTTATTTGTGAATAAGACACAAAATCTCTTTTTCAGAACAAAAAATGAGAGAGAAAACTGTCAAGTTAGATTTTTTATAATTTTTTCTCAAAATAATTTTTATTGATTTTTTAAAATCTTAGGTGTTCATGAAAGTCACAAAATGTGTTTCATATGATGTACGTACGTCTTTCTGAGTGACTGTGTCTGTTTAATTTCAGATTAAATTAGTCACATGCTATATGTAAGGCTTTTAAAGGTTCTGTTTTTGGAGTGGTCTTTGTCCATTGTTTAATTTTTTATTTGTAAGCTTGATTTCTCTTTTCTAAAAACATTATGCTAGTATTTTACATTATGAGACAATGGCATGGTTAGTTCCTCATTTCAGACACCAAACGTACAACATTAAATATTCACACTTCTGCGGACCAGCGGACCCACATGGACCGCAGGGTGAGCACCCCCTGCTGGCCCCACTAACACCTCTTCCAGCAGCAACCTTAGTTTTTCCCAGGCGTCTCCCATCCAGGTACTGACCAGGCTCACACCTGCTGAGCTCTAGTGGGCTACTAGTTGTGACATGCAGGGTGATACAGCTGCTTAATATTTCTTTTGCTTATTAAACCTAGATAAATGTTGTAGTGTAAAACTGTAAGCAAAATCCCTTCTGATACTAAAATGCAATGAACAAAGTCAATTTTGTAAATGCAGTACAATATCCTCAATTGTAAGGGCTAATCTTTTTATTATTTAATTAATGAAGTTGTAATTAAAGAATTTCCTTAAAATTGCTACAGAAACGCAGTCAGCCAAGCACAGAGAAACCTCCTTGTTGGGGATTTCTGACAACCCACAACCTGTGTTTATTCCCAGCATCTCAGGGAAACAGTGCTGGAAAAGTGTCTTTCTACAAGAAGTCTTCAGTAGCCTTCGCTTGTGTGTGGATCATCACTCTGATTGCTGGACTGGGCTTCATCAGTGAGTATTAAAAACAGTTCAGTGACAGACCACTTGGGGGCAAATTCTTAATGACGGCGTCATGGCTGTGCAGTCGTTAGCACTGCTGACTTGCAGCTCTGGGGTTCTGTGTTCTCCCTGTATTTGCATGGATTTCCTCCCACAGTCCAAAGCCATGATGGTACAGTAGATAAATTATCAGGTGTGACTGTGTGTCTGTGTTGATGGCCTTTGGTGGCTTGGTCTCCTATGCAGGGTGTATCCCACCCTGTGCCCTTTTCTGTAGCCTCCAGCATCCCCTTGTTACGTTCCACATCCCTCCTCTAGAGGGCGCTCCTACCCCTTTCTGTTATGTTTAGATTTATTATTTCCTAGTGCGTCTCGTTTGCTTTTTGGTTCAAAGCCTAGCGTCTCTGCAGTTCCGAGCTCAGTATTGGAAGATGGACTCCACAAGGCTTGCCTATTTTCCAGCTTCTCCGAAGGCAGGCCTTTTCCCTGGCGTCCTGACTGCCTGGGTCCGGGATTCAGAGCACCTGGTCTCGTGATGTTTTTAGTTCCTGTGCCGGTTCCGACCCGGTTCCCCCTTTTAACCATTTGCCTTGGATGGATCTCCTGGCTCTAGGGTTACGGACTGCACCTCAACTTCCCTTTTGGATTTCCTTGGACTTGGTTGCTATCTCATATCCCCCCTGCACCTGCTCTCTACGGTCACCGCCCCGTCTTGTCAACCCATCCTAACCGCGTTGTACCTTCCTCCGTCGTCTTTTACGGGTTATACCGTCCATATAGGGTCTTTAATAACGCACCCCACGGGAGTCAGAACCGGCTTTTGTGACACCCCTGTGACCCTGTATTAGACAAAGGGGTTAGGAAATGCATGGGTGGTTGGCTCGGTTAATTACAGAACCTTCACACGGTGACTTGTGAAGCTGCATTTGGAAGACCTTCTCCATGAAAGACATGACAAAAACTTGTAAACTATCAAGAGGTTGAGCTTCAATTGCACTTTTTCAGTTCACCGCAGTTCAATGGAAACTAGACGTGTCTCTGAGCTTCAGAATGATTTGTTGGACCTGAAGATGAACAGCTCCTCACACATCACTGGCAAGTACTTTTCTGGGTTTATCATTGAACTGTATGTCTTTTTGCTGGATAAAGTTAATAAATAATAGTTGAATAAAATTATATTATAATTATGGAGCAAAGTTAAGATGCAGTTTTGACCTTCAAAGGGATGTTTGGCTGAGATGTAGGAGGTTCAGATTCATTGATCAAAACAACCATAAAGCCCACCTTAGTTTATCTTAGTTAATTATGTTCTGGGTAGATGATTAAGTGTCAATCACCAGTCCAGAAAGACACCATATAAAAGGATGGTGAAGCAGAGGGACAGGAATAGGAAGAGGAAGGTATATAAGGTGAGAGCTACTTGTTTCAGATCACCTGGAAAGACCAGATTGGAGTTAAGTATTTGAACCTTGTTAAGAGAACCTGCTATACATGTAGTTCCCTGTAGTTGTTAGGGAGCTCCGATTTCCTGTGTAAAATTCCCTTGGTTAATAACCTCTTCTGGTTGGCGAATGCATTTTTAGAATAAGGAGATACGTTTCCAATCATTTGGTGGGAGACTTAACTGTAGGTTGTATTCTATTTATTTTAGGATGCAACCTATCTCTTCTTGGCCTTTGTAAGTGCTATTTAAGAGTGAAATACTAAGTAACAGTCTGCGTTTTTTTATTCTGGCTGGTTAGAACGTAGACCTCTGGGTTGCCATGTTTATCCATAAACATTTATGCGTATGTGTTGCTTTTTTAAAAATGATCTTTACATCACACAGTGCTTCACACTTCATCCTTTACATTGTAATTGACAAATGTGAGTTGTCTGATGGTCACTTCCATGTTCATCTAACATACTGTATATTCCTATGTTTTATCTGTTGATTATCCAGAGCTACAGAATAATCTGGAGACACTGCAAAGAGAACACTCAGACCTTCAGAGAGACCATTCAGATCTACAGACAGACTACAGAAACGTGAACAGAAGCTGTCAGCTTACACAGAGCTCCAAGGCTGGTGAGTAACAGTATCTCCATATTCATGTTGCATGTGTGTTCGGAGTCACCCCGAACTGCAGAAGAAATTGGAGAAAGAGAAGGCTGAGAACTCCAGTCTGCCAACCTTCTCCCCAAAGAGATGCGTTTTCCAAATGGCACCAAAATGACTGGTAAATAACTACTGTATTGATTTGACTTAATTCATTAAGTAATTCATTTTCCTAAATGTCTTGTCTGGAGAGATTTGGAATTGTTTTCTGGAGTTCATCATGAAAGCACAGGGGGAAAACAATATACTGTAGCAACTTCTACCAATCAGAAGACAAGACTTCACTCTTCAAGAGTTATTTGATCATGCCAGCTCCTGCTAAGAGCATTTTA